ACAGTTTCGTCACTGAATGAGCCGCCTTTTTTGAAAATTGAAGTCAATTGACGATATTTTAGGTGCTTCGTGCGCGAAGGTGGATACTTATCACTAATCCTACAGTGCGTTCCGGAGCACGGGTTTGACGAATGCGGATACAATTTATTGTTCTTCTTGTGTTACATAATTATCAGGGGGTGTCGATACAGGCTGCGTGGCGGTCTCGATGAATCGAGAGTCGTTTCGCTATCAGAAGTCCAATCAGAAAAATACTGATATAGTGGCAGGGGCCTCTGCTCATAGGTTAATGGACAACAAACTTTTTTTATTTTCCTGTTGAAGGTCTTGTATAAGTAGCTATGAATTTGGAAGTTCGGTTCTGGCTGATCCAGTTCATCTTGTATACCCACGTTCTGTCGATGATTTCGTGCAACAAGCTAGATTTCATCCGTACAAGTGTTGATTTGAGTTATATCGTGATTCAGCTGTTTTTTAAAGTTAGATGCCTTATCGAACCATATGAAAAAAGAACTTGACAGACATGGAAGAAACGGTCTACCCGTAATTGTTTCATAACATAGCACCTTATCTTCATTCATTGATTGCTTCATTTATATTTTTTTAGCTCGTTATATATGAGGGAAAACTTTTCGTGCCCTTTCCTTGTTGATACAGAAATAAATTGACTATAAGCTGTTGTAAAAAACCTATTCAAATATTTCAAATACTGTTTCACAGTAATAATATTGTTCTTTTACACCAAGGTTCGTAAAAGTTTTCAAGATTGTTTCGTATTCTGGGCTTGAAGAAAATACAACTTGCCAAAGTAACCAGCAATACGTCATTTCATCCAGGTGATGTATCATAGATTACGGTGTTCGGTCTCATAAAGTATTGTCAGTCGTATATTACGATGTTGGCAGTAGTAAAAAGGAAGAGAGTTTTTCGCCGTCTAATTTTTTAATGAAAGGCTCGGTTTGGGACTTTATACCTTCGCTTAGCTTACTGTAATCTACTTTACTATTTGTACGTTAATCTACGATTCGTTCATTCCGTGCCAGTTGACATTAACCATCCGTCATAAATTAGTCCATCTGGTAAACTGCCATCTCAATGCTTGCCGGAACTGGAGCTGTGATCAGCGTCAGTCCAAGCTACACGGGGTGCCATGGCATCCTGTCTATTTATAGTTTTTCTCTATGCGTCTCTCATGGATCCGGATGATGACAAAAGTTTTATTGTGCATGCCAAGCTGTGCAAAAAATATGCCGCCAAAGTTTTTCAGTTTGAACAATGGGTTTTTTCTTTTGTTATGTTTGTTGGTGTACACCGCATGATTTACATCGTACAATAGTGTATTTAAAAATATGGAGGTATATGTGCACATGGTCCATATTTGAACATTGAACTCACCCAGTGATTTCATTGGTTGCCTTCGTTTGACCAGTGCTCAACGTGAATAATATTTACGACGACTTCTGTTTTTGCTCTATGTAAATTCACATCCACATACTTCACCAGATACTGTCAGGCGTTTTCAGTACTTGGTTTGCGCGCACGTTGTCCACCCGGCGAATATTTGGCGTTATGTCGTCAGTTAATCTTCTCGTCATTTTACTGTTGGTGTTTGATGGCACTGACGTACAATGACCCTCAGTCCGGAAACTGTTTTTTCTCGATCAGGCACAAGCCACTTGGTCCATAGCGTACAAATGAACAGTGTTCAGCATCGAATCACTAGCCCATCCATTTGTACACCATCACATCCGCATTCAAGTTTTTAATTCCGCCAGGCAACTGATCGATATGTTCAACTTTTCGTTCGATGATCGTTAGTCGATTGCTTTTGACAACCTTTTAATAGTTGTTTGGTTATATTCAAAAATTGCATGCTGATCAGGATTTTGGCACACCAGCTTCTGCGTCAAACATAGCTATAATGCCGGTGTTTCTAGCCACATCGGTCACATCCTTGTTGCTCAGCTGATGTTTGTTTGTTCTAACACATTATGTTGCTATATTGTTCAGAATACAAATTTTTGTCCTTCGGTATTTCGTTATCGTCTGTACTAAGATGCTAATAACAGTCGAAATAGTTAATCTCTGTTAATCATACTTTTCGTACGATTCATTGGGCAACTCTTTCTTGGAATTTGAAATCATTCATCTACTATCACAGATGTCGTCGTTTTTAACCGCGTTTCCTACTTGAGTCGACGTTAAGCCATCAGTTTCCGTTGACATGTTGAAACCAACATCTTGATGCACGTTCTTTGAAACAGTCATTTCAAGCAGTTGTGTCTAAATATGCGCTTCCTTTCAGGCATACGAAAAACGTTTCCCTGCGTGTAAAATGATACCCGTATTCATCGGCTGTGATATAGTCCGCGAAGAGACGAGTCGTGACGGTGCCGTACACGTCATCGAGCGGAAATGCAAGATTAGTGTCGAAGTGCCATATTTGTTGAAAAAGGTATCCCTCTTCTTTGTTGCGTTGGTATGATGGCCTGCAGTGTCAAAATATGCGTCACGCAGTTTGCTGACACACCGTTGTCAGGTGGAGCCATCCGGGTAGACGCCCGTTAACTTACACCCTGCTCGACCTCTTGCAGCTTCCGCTATCGTAATACGCAGGGACACGCGTCCAACGGAAGTACATGTATAAATTAAGAAATACCAGCGCTGTTTTTGCACAAAGCAGGTTGATTGTCTTCTATGGCAATGTTTATTCTTCCACTGTTCATATTCAACTTTGGCTATAAGTAGCTTCCGGCGGTTCCTTTGACATCTCACAGTCACAGCGCATCAATCATTATCTACCTGAACTTTCCTGTGGTCATTTGGCGTCCCTAGCTTACTTTTATGATCCACTGCGCTGAGTAGCGCACATTGTTTATCTACCTTTTAGTGCTTTAGTAGTGTTAATTTGGTCATTCCAAGCATCGCATTTCTGAATCACATGCAGCGCTACGCAACCTGTATTACAGTTGTACTTTAAACCAGTTGACATGTAAAGTTATGCTGATCATTGACAGTGTTACCTGCCCAGTCTAGCGGAAACGAAGGAGAAATGAAAGTTTGTAACCGTTCGATATTGGTCTTCTTTACATGTACATGATAAATCCAATACTAGCACCCTTATTTTCATGAAGTTAGTAATGAGAGCGCTGAGCTTCATTTTTATGTAATCAGCCACGAGTGCCTAATATTTTTGAAGGCAGAATTGATAGCAGCTGTATAAAGCATTATCTAAATTCTCTTTTCTTCCCACTCATTTATCAATTTTGGAAAGAAGAAGGGCGAGTGTCCCCAACCGGTGTTTAAACTCAGGACCTCTGGGTTCTGAGTCTTACGCGCTAACGACCGAGTAATCCTAGTCTGAGTTCTGAGTCTGCACCAGTGCATGGTAAATTCCTTTCTCAATTGAATTGTTGGTAGAGACAAAAATAGACCTCCGCGGGAATCGAGCTTGGCACCTGCAGAGTTCGATTTTGCGGTCGACCTCAGACAATGTGCCACCATGCCAATGTAGCATGTTTTTTAGCCGACTGTTCGATCAGGGCAGCCACAGCTTTGGTACAATTCATGTTTATGTCGTTCAAGACGTTAGCTTAATATTTTCAGTTTTTGTGAATCTGACCATCCCATCAGAATGCCTCGATTGAGTGACAACCAACTTTCCACCCTCCAACTTTTTCAAGCGAAATCACGAAGCTAGTGCCTATTAAGCTCGTCATTTAAATGGGGACATCCATTTGGGCGTGACTCGCATTTGGTTTATTGCCTTGAGATGCAAGATCGTTGAGAATCTTGTGCTGGATTCAACAGTGGTCGAGCATTTCCTGATTCCATACTAAACTATTTAAATATTGCAAGAAAAAAGGCAGTAGAAGAATGAAGAGTTGGCTAGAAGAGTATTTAATGAACCAGGACCTAATTTGTACCGAAGAAGAAACACCACTGTTTATTCTGACAGTTTCACCTTGTTTTTTTCAAGCTTTTAACCATTTCTTTCATTATCGATTATCTATCTGAACTTATTTTCTCTTTACGAATTGAAAACCAGTTACAGATCCTCTTGAAACGTACTTTCGAAGAACACTTACTGCTTTGTAAAAGTCCATATAATTATTTTTTA